GAACAATAAAGGTCCCAAATGAGATCCCTGCGGTACACCAGAGAATGCACAGAAGTCACGCGAAAATTTATCCCGCACCCGTACAACCTGCGTTCTCCCATCGAGATAAGAGTCAAACCAGAATAACATATTTCCCTTAAAATTTCCCAATAGAAACAAGCTTACGCATCAATAAGCCATGATCAACAGTATCAAAAGCCGTGGAAAAATACGTATAAATCACATCAACTTGTTGACCCGAATTAAGAGCAGAAAAAACATAATTATCAAAAATTGCCAGATTGGTCACCGTCGATCTGCCATGCACGAAGCCATGTTGCTCATCATAAATAATATGCTTGACAATAGAAGAAAGTCTTATACTTATTAAAAACTTTTGTACTCGGCTCGAATTATTGTGTTACAATAAAAATGAAATATCGACGGCAATCGGAGCCTGTGTGGATGTCATGCACAAAATTAATAAATAGAAATGAGATCTCACATAAAGCTCATTTATTCAATTCTAATTCTAAACGTTTCGACCCACTTCGGGTCTTTTTCAGTAGCTACAATATACAAAAAATTCAAGAAATCAAAAAGATAGTCATTACAATTAAAAAAAAATATAAACCTCAAATACATACAATCCGCAAAACAAATTAAATGTTCTTCTCTTCCCTATTCAAACTGTCCGGCCGTCGGAGTGTCTCCCTAACGGTGACCATCGTCAGGAAGGAAGCAGAGCACATAAGTGACTCCCTTACCAACACTAATCAAAGTCACAACAACATTATATAAATTAAACATAGAAAATTCACAAGAATTAAAATTTAAAAATCGGAGAGATCACTCACCCCGGCAGTAAAAAACAAGGAGAAGACGAAGTTACACGTGACACATCACTCTAACAACTGTGCGGTATTCTACCTCGACACAGTCGATACATATATACGCAAAAAAACCAAAAAATATTTATTTTTATTTTTTTTTACGACGATTTTTCCTTAGCAAAAATGTTAAGAAGTCAATAATTTTCGAGTTATAAGCGATTGAAAAAAATGGGTTTTATGAAAACTAAACGTTTTGGAGTTAAAAGTCTAACATAATTACATTCTTCAGTTAATTTCAGATAGAGTTTACTATAATAAAATTTTAATTTAAGGCTTAGTTATAAAGATACATAATGACAAATATTGGAAAGTTGTAAAAAATGCTTTCGTTGTAAAAAAACTTTTTTCGAAATTTTCCCTGAGGAAAAATCGTTCCCAAATTGACCAATGAATCCATTTGTAATCGTTGGTCCGTTAGTTACCGGACACCCTGTATAATGGACATTTCTGTTTCTTAATATGCACTATCTTAGAAATAAGGTGTTTCTTATAAACAATTTCTTTATCAAGAATAATAATACTATCCCAAACTCATGATTAACAGTCATGCGATGATTAGAAATAACGGTCTGTGTAAGCCGGCCCCCCGGGAGTCCCCGGGGCACCGGTTTGGAGGATGATGCCAGTCATGTATCGGGTCGTTCCTCGGCCGGTCGAGCCTCCGCGGATAGTGGGATCGCAAATACAATAAAATCGTCAAATATCTCAAACCAAAAAAACGTTACGACACGGGAGCAGGATAGAGAACGTTTCGCAAACGTTCGAAAGGAGTTGCGGGTCACTCTCGAGCGACTGAATCCGCAGGTGTACATGTCTGACATCTATCGCTTCGAGGAAGAGGAAGGAAGAGGAGTAACGGTGGCAGCGGCGGCGGCGGTGGCGGCGACGGCGCTGCCGATAATCCAGGACCTCATTACTGTCCAGGATCTCCAAAATACTCACTTTTCGAAATCGTCCACACCGTTCATGTCTGCACGGTCGCACGACAACAACCACGACGACGACGACGACGACGAGAGCAAAGGGGAATTAATTCACTCTCAACTCGCGGAACTAAACCCGCGAGTGTTCGACGAGGAGAAGACATTTATAGACAACGACATAGATTCAATGCTCTATCTATGTCACTCACTCTTACCATTCAAATGTTACAACATATTGAAACTCAACACCGCTCTGAAACCGATACTCGCAGATTTGAATAACAAACTGACCAAGTATTGAAACAAGAGATCGCTGTTCCTGAAGATGCGTGATAACGACGATGACAACGACGACGACCACAACATTGATCCCCAGCAACGGTGACCCAAATAAGATTCCTCGATTCCCATCCTATCTTCATAATTTTTCAATTATACAGAAACAGTCCGCTGTTAGTAAACACACAATCAAACAACAAAGGACGAAGATGTACGTTTTGTGTCTCCGTAAACGCGTTCGTTAATCAAATCATCGCGTACGCGGTGATAAACCTATCGACAGAATGCAAAAGTACTCGCGCAGGCATAAAGTATGTACGTTTCGAAAAAGACAGAACGTACAACATTATGCGTAACGACTACGATCAATTTGCCGCTCTCGTGTCCGTTTGCAAGGATATGACGCAAATGCAGGATGAGAATCGTCCGTTTTTACATGTGCGATCACGGACTACGACTGCAAAAAATATACGCGAGACAAACGATAAGACGTACATTAAACGTCGATCATCCGGATGTAGAAATCATACAATTACATAGAATCAACACTTTCCGTTTCGCAGACGAGAGTATCCTCGTCGTGAAACTTACAAACAGAGGAGAGGGCACGCTCGGCGACGTCTTTCGCAATAACCGGGCAGTTGAAGCGTTATCGGACCAATTTCACAACGGATCTTGGATATTTTGACCACCACGCTTCCCCGATAACCAAGAATAATATCGTAATGTATTGCCAGGCTTACTCCTCCGCCGCCAAAATGGCTCGTCCGCACGACTTTAGCTTAACCGCGGCCTTCCTCATCTGTCGCGCGTACAACGACCGGGCCAAACTGTTCAAAAATTTACGAAACGAAACAAGACAAAAGAACCTCGATCTGGTGTCTTATGTGCACCACTCTAGCACCGGACATAGACTCCGGATGGAGGAAGTCTTGACGTTCGACAAAAAACGCCTGCGAATACGAATGTCGGACCTTTTTACGCGACACAGCGTTTTCGACGATAGTCAATGATGCGACTATTATGACGAACCTCCTCCTGCGCCATCGCACCCTCTATCGAATCGATGCCCAAAAATGACAAGATCACGTCGATTCGATCATAGCCGACGATCTTCTCCTTCTATTGTTGGCCCGTATTAACTATGAGACCTCCAACGACGACGGATGGACGACGTCATCTTTAATACGCCGGGGAATACGAGCAGAATTTCGCACATACTACTTTGCACGGAATGTCGCACAAATATAATTACGCGATCAAAAGCAACATGTTTGTAAACAAGTTGGAACAATCGTCGGACGATCGCGGCATTATACAGGTGCGACCACACCACGACGATACAGACATCTTTCCCTATCCAATATTCGCCAAATCCATCCCCCGCATTACCTAGTACCGACCCGTTACATATGGTGCTGCATAATCGACCAGGCGATCGAGAACACTACCGAGGAAGAGTACGAAATGGAGTACCAAGACGAGATCCTGAGATGCATTAAATTTTGGTCTATCATCTTCGCCGAATGGTCTTACTCGCAATTTATAGCCTCTTCCGTACCGAGAAACGACGAGAACATCTAAATCGGGAATCGAACCCGAGAATCGAACCCGAGATTCGATTCTCGGGTTCGATTCTCGATTTAGCCAACTTTCGGACCAATATTTTTCTAGCCTATTTCTTTACAGGGTAAGTAAAAGAGGTACAACGAGAATTCTTGAGATCCCAAACATAGAATACAGATTCTCAGATTCCTTAATTTCGCAATAACATCGCGTTTGGTTCTGTGGCCGAGAAGAAGGAGGTGTATATCGTGTTTTAAAATTAGAAGAGTCGACCTAAAAATTCTTATTATAAGTATTTAAGTATTCCCCGGCGTATTAAAGATGACGTCGTCCATCCGTCGTCGTTGGAGGTCTCATAGTTAATACGGGCCAACAATAGAAGAAGAAGATCGTCGGCTATATATATATATATATATATGACAAGAAGTTTTAATTCAAGAAATTTTCTTTATATTTAATTTAACGTTACAGATTCTTTGTTCAGAATTCAAATTGGATTTTTCGGCATGTAGGTTAATTGTGTTTGGCCATAAATTGTTTGTTCGACATCCGTTCAAGAATCACGTTATGACTTCGGTATTGATACCGACTATACGCGTGATCACCCGATCCCGTACGCGTGATATTATAAGAATGCGGAGATTCCGGCGTTTTTTCGTGCTTGACTCTCGCCGAGCGCAGGCAGTCAGTTATTATTCGACTAGCGATCAGTACACAGCGATTCCCGCGTTATCGTTCAGCATTGACGAAACGTTTGCTATCGTCGCATATAGTCGTGCATTATCAATGTTGTTGAAATTTCATTAAAGACTTTTGATTGAATTGTTATTCGGAACAGTTTTGTGTTCTTTTCTCCTACACATCTACTTTCAGCGCGGACTCTCCGAGACAGTGGCCGTAACCGGATATAAAATATATTTATAAAACCACACTTCTACTCTTCATTCCTCTCGACCATTAGAGCCAAACGCGATGTTATTGCGACAATTAAGAAAGAAAGAAATTTTAGAAACTAAGGAATTTAAATCCTATGGTTGGGAATAGGGGTGTGTGGGGATACACCGTAGAGATAGTACCCTTCTACTACAACGGTCGCATCAAGAATAGATGGTTGTTGGTGTCTGGTCCTCACGGGGTACCCAACTCTCACTTATGGCTCCAAGCGCCACACCCCGGTAAGCTGCATCGACCTGCAGACTAAACTAAGTGAGGGTAGTCAGATATGACGAGATTAGTAGCGTCTGACCCGTAACGGGCGGCTACGAACAGCGTCTGCTCTCCATGTTAGGAGCGGCTGAAAGGATACCGAAGAAGGCAACGGGAAACCACTTTGGTGTATTTAATTTCCCAGGATATCACTATGGCGAGGAAACCAATAAAAACGGCCTCTAGTCCCGGGCAGCCCTTAGATGGGCAAGGGGTGCGAAGAATCTCCCGGCTCAAAATAGTGAAGTCCAATCTGCGTATATCCACTTGGAACGTTAGAAGTCTCTTCGCTGCGGGGAAACTCAGCAATGCAATCAAAGAAATGAAAAGGATAAAAATCAGGTTTATGGGAATAAGTGAGCTAAGATGGCCAGGAGTAGGCACATGTGCCCACGAAGGTGGAACCCTTTACTTCTCGGGAAGTGCTGAAGACGACCGTCGACACAGCAATGGAGTTGGGATTCTGGTTGACTCAGAGTTTGTCAAATATGTGAAAGGATTCGTACCCATCTCGGACAGAGTCATGCTGCTCCAACTGCATGGGAAGCCATTTGATATTAATCTTATACAGATCTATGCTCCTACCTCCGAAAAAAGATACGATGACGATGTGGAAGTCTTGTATGACACTATCAGGGACACACTTCAGAGCCTACAAAGTGACAACGTCAACCTAGTCATGAGGGACTTTAATGCCAAAATAGGGCAGGGAAGAAGAACCGATATCGTTGGTGATCACGGCTTAGGGGAGAGTAACGAGAGAGGCGATAGGCTTTTCGAATTCTGTCAGGAGACAGAAATGGTAGTGACCAATACATGGTACAAATTACCAAAACGTCGCCTCTACACCTGGAAATCGCCTCTCGATGGGGGGAGTAACCCGGAGCCTGTGAGGAACCAGATTGATTATGTCCTGATAAATAAACGCTTCAGAAACATGGTAAGGAGTATCAAGGCGTACCCCGGAGCAGATATTGGATCGGACCATAACCCGTTGGTCACGGACCTGACGCTAAGGCTGAAGTGTGTCAGGAGTGGTACTGCCAGCAAGAGGATCGATGTCTCGAAGCTGCGAAACATTGAAACGAGAAAAGTGCTACATTTGACCTCAATAGAAAACTGAGCCAAATAAAGAAAGTAAACCCCACTGACGTAAATACGCAGTGGGGTGAAGTAAAGCGGGCTCTCCTTGAGACCAGCGAACAACATCTGAAACCATCAAGACATACGAAGAAGAAATCGTGGATGACGGATGGAATCATGAACCTAATGGAGAGGCGGCGGCTGCTCAAAAATAGACAGGAGGAATACAGGAGGGTTCAAACCCTGATCAAAAAGGAAATCAGGATAGCAAAGCAAAACTGGATGAAAGAGAAGTACGAAGAACTAGAGTGGCTTATATCGAGGCATGACTCGTTTAATATTCACAGAAAGGTGAAGGAAGTGGCGGGTTTATATAAAAGACGTGTACCCGTGTCTATATGCGATGAGCAGAACAAGGTCATCTTAGAGAAGCGCGAGATTAAACGTACTTGGCAAGAGTATGTGGCCGGGCTTTTTGAGGACGCCAGATCGGACATCCAAGCTGGAGCGGAGGAGCCGGAGGGCCCTGTCATACTCAAATCGGAGCTGCTGCATGCCATCACATCCGCCAGGAGTGGGAAAGCCGCGGGTCCAGATGAGATTCCAATGGAATTAATAAAATTGATAGACGAGGACAACATAGAGACGATACTAGGACTGTTCAATAGGATATACAACACCGGGGTAATACCAGAAGAATGGCTGATATCAACGTTTGTTACCATTCCAAAGAAGCAGAGGCCAAAAAGGTGCGCGAATTTCCGTCTGATCAGCCTCATGAGCCATATGCTGAAAACATTCCTCCGTATAATCCACGCTCGCATAAGGTCAAAGTGTGAATGGGACTTGGATGACTCGCAATTTGGGTTCAGAAGTGCCTTCGGCACACGTGAAGCGATTTTTGGGACAAATGTCCTCCTACAAAAATGCCGAGACCACCAGAGAGATGTCTTTACATGTTTCATAGATTACGAGAAGGCGTTCGACCGGGTCCTGCATAGCAAACTTATTGTGCTTCTCCGTCAGGCTGGAGTGGATGAAAAGAATGTCCGGGTGATAAAAAACCTATACTGGCAGCAAAAAGCTGAAATAAGGATTGGAAACTTGACAACCTCAAGGGTGGACATACAAAGAGGTGTTAGACAGGGGTGTATTCTTTCCCCCCTTTTGTTCAATCTCTACGCAGACAAGATCTTCAAGGAAGCTATAGGTGACACAGAGCTCGGAATCAAGGTAAATGGAGTATATATCAACATCATAAAATACGCAGACGACACGGTCATTATCGCCGATAGCATAGAGAACCTTCAACTGCTTCTAAATAGGATCTCAGAAGCTGGACAGAATGGGATTAAATATCAACACAAACAAGACAAAGTTGATGGTCTTCAGCCGCGATAGCCATGAGAACGCCCTACTGCACCTTGATGATGTAAGGATAGAGCGTGTCGCGTCGATCATGTACTTGGGGATGCCTGATTACAGAGGACCTGGACCCCGATCGGGAGGTTAGGCATAGGATAGAGATTGCTCGCGGCGTTTTTAATAAGATGAGGGCTCTCTTTTGCGAAGACAACCTTAATCTGAGGCTAAGACGGAGAATGATCAAGTGTTATGTTTGGTCGGTATTGTTATACGGTGTAGAGGCGTGGACCCTCAAAACGAGTACGCTGAACCGTCTGGAAGCCTTTGAAATATGAGTCATGAGACGTATGCTGGGGATCTCCTGGGTTGACAGAGTCACAAATGCTGATGTTTGGAGGAGATCAGGTGCGCGACGAGAGCTGCTAGTAACGGTCAAATGCAGAAAGATCGAATATCTTGGTCATGTCTTGAGAGGGGAGAAATACCGCCTCCTCCAATTGATACTAAAGGGAAGAATTGAGGGCCGACGTGGGATCGGAAAGAAGAAACTCTCGTGGCTGAGAAATATTAGAGCATGGACTGGGATGCGAAGCGCGGAGGAGCTCTTTCGTATGGCGGTGGATAGAATCACCATGGCCAGAGTGATCGCCAACGTCCGGGGACGACCGGGTAGGGCACGTGAAGAAAAAGAGAGGTTGGGATCTCAAAAATTCCCCTTGTTCTTTCTCTTAACATCCCCTGTAAAGAAATAGGCGAGAAAAATATTGGTCCGAAAGTCGGCTGAATCGGGAATCGAACCCGAGACGCGTCTGGACCTAATTAGGACGCTTTGGGATAGGTGGAGGGAGGGGGGTATAAACATTGAGAGAAATATTTATTCGTAAGTGTCTGAATAGCTCAGCTGGAAGAGCAGTCGCCCGGCAAGCGGAAGGTCTCGGGTTCGATTCCCGATTCAGCCGACTTTCGGACCAATATTTTTCTCGCCTATTTCTTTACAGGGGATGTTAAGAGGAAGAACAAGGGGAATTTTTGAGATCCCAACCATAGGATTCAAATTCCTTAGTTTCTAAAATTTCTTTCTTTCTTAATTGTCGCAATAACATCTCGTTTGGCTCTAATGGTCGAGAGGAATAAAGAGTAAAAATGTGGTTTTAAAATTAAAAGAGCTGACTTATAAGTATTCTTATTATATATATAAAAGTTTGATTCGCAGCACGTTAAGTCGAGGGACGTGTACATGTGAATTAATGGTCCTTCGAGCCGGATTTGCGCCGAAAAACTGTGTCTGCAGAGTGTCGTGTCATGTCTCATAGGCGAAAACTGTGTCCGCTCATTCTCGCGTCCCGCTGTTATCGGGATACGAAAAAACGATCTTTTGTTTAATTCAGCACTGAACTGTACAACGAGCCTTCGTCAGCAGCACTGCAAAGACGATTAAAATTTAAACTTTCCTTCTGGAATTTCGCGCCGGACGTGCGCTCTCTCTCGCACGGCGGGCGGTCTTGCACGGCAAGCGGTCTCGCGCCAAAATCGACCGTCTCCCTCGCTCCAACGAAAGCGAGAGCCGGCCCTCGTGTTTTCGACATTTCGCAGTTACCTAACTTTTGTCCCGCTTCTGCTTTGGTCAGTGGCTATCCGTAGTGGAAAATTCTACACGTCGATTCGGTGACGATCCACGGGAATCAATAACGCTCAATCTTAGTACCGTTTATCTCCGTGAATCATGTCGGATTTCGAGAACGGTCTCATCGCGATACGTACGACCGTTCAGTTTATGTTTAGGATAGCCGTGAATTATAAGAAGGCCGGCAAGGAGAAATTCACGATTACAAAGACTAAGCTTCGCATGGAGCAGTTACGGGAGCACTGACAAACTTGCTGTAAGCAGCACGTCGAGCTCCTGCAGGTCGCTGACAAAGACGATCTTCAAAATGATTACTTCACTGACGACGAAATTAGCAGAGCTGAGGCGGTGTTCGAGGATTTGCAAGATTTCCTCGCAGGCCTACTCAATAAACAGAAGCTACGTACTCCATCTGACACTAATCAGAGTTCTATCAGCGTCCACCACCCGCCTGGTCACGGGTCATCAGCCTTCACACTACCAAGGATCACCATTCCAGTTTTCAAGGGCAAAATGACCAAGTGGGAGAGCTTCCGAGACACCTTCCAGGCCTTAGTCGGCGCCAACAAAACTCTCTCGGACGCGCAGAAGCTACATTATTTGTAGTCGTTCATGAACGGGGATGCTGCGCTTCTGTTAAAGCACATCACGACTTCTGACGTAAACTACGCTGGGGCTTGGAAGATCCTGCTGGATGAGTATAACAACGCCCGGTCTCTAGTCCATGCGCATATTCACGCGTTCGCGAGTCTCACAGTAATGAAAACTGAAAATGCTGCCGAATTAAAGCTGTTGCGCAATATTGTAACCGCGTCGTTATTGGCATTGTCAAATTTAGGCCGAGATACCGATCAATGGGACGACTTACTTGTGTACATCGTTACTCAAAAGTTCAGCTCGCGACCCATACCGAATGGAACTTGCGTTTAGGCGCGTGAACTGATTACCCTACTTTTAAAACACTTCGCGAATTTATTACGGAATGTCTTCGCGACTTATCTGACCTTGCGCATCTTGTACCTAATTGCGCTACTACCAGCTTTTCCGCGCGTTCCGATAAATCGAATAAGATCAAGGCAACGGTTCATAACACTACGGACCGTAAGTGTCCTTGCTGTCAAGGGAATCATTTCCTGTCGTTTTGTCAGACCTTCCGAAAACGGTCGCTAGACCAACGCGCGCAGCTCGCTAAACAAGCACGCGTCTGTTTTAATTGTTTGAGACCCGGGCATTTTCCGCTAAATTGTACAAGTGAGAAGCGCTGTAACTCTTGTCAACGCGCTCACCATTCATTACTTCATCACGACAACATCGGTGTAGCAATCGCCGATGCTGCGGATTGAGAAGGTACGAAATCGCGACGCGAATCCGCGGCAAGTAAAGCGTGCGAAGCACAAGGAGCATTTAATGACGCTTCCACCAACGTAGCGACTAATTATACCGCATGTAGCGACACTTCCGATCTTGTAGCTCCACTCCAATTATGTTCATTTGCTATTTGGCACGGGTTTGGGACGTCGCAAGGAGATGGAAAATGATTACGCGTGAAGAATAACGAATTCTAACACAACGGAATTTATTGTTTGTTCACTCTTACATTGATTAACAAAACTAAAGTTTAGACTCGCAGGAGCGGAATAGTAGTGCTTAATGCACGAGATCGACTCGAATAATCGCTGATGATCCGTCTTACAGACTGTCGCAAAGCGATCTGAATCTTCGAGCATCCCCGTCGTCAGACCACGGGAGCGCGCGTCGAAGATTCACGTGATTAACACGAGAAAGCGGATTCAAATAAATACGATCACGCGGCTGTCACAGGACAGGGCCGTGGTTCAAACGTGCTTCATTCAACCAAATATAACATCTCGCAAAAATGAACACCGCATCTCTAGGTTCGCGATCTCAAGCTCCGATTCCCGTCCTTCTCGCTACCGCTCGGGTCCGACTTCACACGGTTGAAGGACGAACTGAAAAGGCCCGCGCTTTCTTCGATCAAGGCTCGACATAGTTTCATTTCTGAAGCTCTCGCTCAGAGATTACGTCCGACG